GGCGGTGCTACTGCTGAACAGAGGGCGTCAGAAATGAGGGCGCTCATGGCTTTTGTGGAGGGGTGGTCCTCTGTGTGTGCCCTGGCTCACTGGTTCCAAGTTTTTCACCCTCCTGGCTGGGGCCCACTACCTGACCACAGCGCCCTCCCGTCACGTTGACACACACTTGCCCACCCTTGCCTTTCCAAGTCCCCCCACCGACAGCACATCGGAAAGGCTAAGTCTGTTCTCGTCAGATAAAGGACTCCACGGCTGCTGGCTTATGAATAACAGCAGGTTTTCCTTCATGACAAACCATTGACTGTTAAAAAGTAGAAGTGCACGAGTAAGATCAGCTACTCCCAATCCTGTCCCTTTACAAGGGACGAAGGACATAGGGAGTGGGCTTGTGCATCTTTCCTACCAGTCCCACGCCCCTTACTGTGTGGGCTCTTTTGGACATGGATCAAGCTTTCCAAGTGGCAGAGCGATTCCTCAGGATAGGATCAAGTCGAGTTCTCTGTCAGAGCTGTTAGGAGCCCCGATGGTGGCGTGGTTCTGCGTTGGGCTACGATCGCATGGTTAGCAGTTCAAAACTAGCAGCAGCTCCGTGGGAAAAGACTGGGCTTTCCGGTCTTGTAAACAGTTACGGTCCTGGAAACCCATCGGGGTCGCTATGACTCAGCTTGGACTCGATGGCAGTGACCTTTGAGATCACAGTCTGTACCAAAAGGATCATGATTTGGAGGCTGACTTGTCTGTCATCTGTGCCCAGGGGAACCCAGCTGACCATGCCCCAGGGCCCCTCAGAGCCTACTGCGACATATTCCCACACCCTTATGGGGTGTCAGCAGCCAGCCCCTGCACTGTGGGCCAGAGGCCAAGAAGGAACACCAAAGGTAGTTCTCAATGCACAGTGGGACAGCATCCTCAGAACCCGTGGGACGAAATGCTTTTCAATTAAAGGAAAAAAGATGCCAATAATTCACCTTGAAGGATTTAGGAAAATGAAGGTGTGGTGACCCAATAAGAATCAGAGGTGCCTTTCTCCTGACTTCAAGCAGACAAGATAGTGAAAGAGGGTTCCCAGCGTGGTTTTCCTGAATAGAGTCCTGGTTCAAGTGCGCCCTTGGAAGGGGCACTTCTGACTGGCTCACATCAAAACATTTCTGCACTGCACTGTGCACATCTCCTGCTATCAGAATGTGGAAACTTTCTGGCAGCCTTTCAAGCGTGGGTCCTTTCTAAAGACTGCCACCCAATAAGGGACTCATCCCGTAGAGCCTACCAGGTCCGTGAGCGGTGTAAACAGTTTGTGTTTGGCTACCAACCTAAAACTTGGCAGTGTGAACCCACCGGTAAGCACTGCTGAAGAAAGGTCTGGTGATCTGTCTCTGTGGAAAACCCTATTCTGTTCTACTCTGTGACACCCGGAGTTGCCATCAGTCAGAATCAAGGGTGTATTTCAGATAAAACCCTGGAATTTTAAAGGAAGTGGGCCATTTCCTGGCACCACACTGAAAACAAGTGTCTCTTGGAGACCTGTCATCCACATCACATATGTTACAACATCTGTCACGCTCAGTCCCACATGGCCTCTCCTGTGCTGCCAGCTGTCATTTCCAGCCGTCTCGAGCTCAGGCACAGGTGGGTCATGAACGGGGCTCCTTCAGCGAGCGCGTGTGAACTCTGCGAGATCACTAGGAGAGTGGTCTCTTAGGTACTTTTTATTTTTCCTTTCTGATAAACCCATTAAACAGAGAAAAGCACTCATAATAGAATCTTCTGAACACTTCGTTATCTATGGAAGTACTGAATCAAGCCCCTTCAATTCTTTGTTTATTTTTGGAGATGAGCCCTTCCCCCTGCCCCCCCCAAATCACAGAGCATTATTGTTTTCTTTCTCTTTTCAGTAAGATTTGTATGTGACCTTAGACTGGCAGGGTTATCAATACAATATGATTGCTGGTACATATCCCATAAGAATGGAGAATGGTGCAGTGGTAACGAGTTGGCTGTTAACCACAAGGTGAGCAGTTCAAAATCACCAGTCACTCCATGTGAGAAAGACAAGGCTTTCTACTCTCAGAAAGAGTTACGGTCTTGGAAACTCACAGAAGCAGTTCTGTTCTGTCTTACAGGGTTGCTGTGATTCAGCTTCGACTCAATGGTGGTGAGTTTTTGGTTTTTAATCCCATAAAAATAGATGATATTTTCTGCAAGTTTCGTTTTTCTGCTACCTCTCGGGCAAATGTAATCAATTCTGAAAAGGAAGATTCATGTAAAGGAGGAGGAGATTCAAGATACACCAGTTGTCAGAGACTAGAGTGAGACAAAGGTTTGATCCATTTTTTTGTTTTGTTTTAAAAATCGCATGGAGAAGTCTTTCAACCTCAAGGTTTGCCTCTAAAAGCCTGACGAAGAACAGAAGCAGTCTAGAACATCTCCCATGCAGAACAGCAGATAAAAACGTAGGAATCTTTTACAAAAGGGGAAGTGAATCCACTGGTGAGCAGTCATCTGGTCTCTAAAGGTTTCACTCATCTATTGACTTAGCAGAGCCTCTGACTGAGGCCCTCCTAGATGGGCCCTCCCTGAGTCTGCAGAGGTGTCTGGAGACAGGTCTCTGTGTGAGCTCACTGGACTCCAGTTGTACGATTCCAGTTTCAGACTGTTTTTTCTGGATAATCCCAATTCTCCACTGTCTTGTCCTCTCAGACCTCAATGGTCACAAGCATCTGTTCCGATGCTTTTCTACTGTTAACAATTCTTACTCTTTACAGGCTTAAAGCATCATACGTCTTCAGCTGGGCATCCACACCCTTCACGCCAGTCTCATATACTCTGACATGAGAACAGACCCAACTAATGACAGATAATACTTCACCATCTGCACCACGATGCACACAAAGGCTATACCTGTTTTGATACTTTGCTTTTTTCACCAACAATTTGCCAAAGTTCCACGATCTAAGAGGCTTATAGAATGTAGTTTAGTTTAAGCAAACAACAGTGATTTCATTATTGTTTTAGGATTCAGCAACTGGATTTGTCCATCAGGATTAAAAGTTAAGCTCCTAATGCTTGCTATCATTGGAAACTGAACAGATATTGCTCTTTCTGATGGTGGTCATCGGGGGTACTTCCAACACACACAAAATAAGCCTCTAGGTTACAGAGGAATAGTCTTGGTGGCACTGTGGCTGCTAAGTGCAAGGTCGGTAACTCAAACCCTTCAGCCCTCTGGGGGAGAAAGACGAAGCTGTTCACTCCTGTGCAGATGTCCAGTCTTGGAAGCCCTAAGGAGCAGTTCACTCTGTCTCATAGTTGGAATTGACCCCTGGGCAGTAGGCTTGGTTTACGTGAGGTGAACAAAGAGTCAGCTGACTGGAAAGTAAACTAGTAAAGAAACAAACAAATATTTTGGGGGGAAGATTTCTATGTAATTTTGGTACTACAGTCCTCATTCCTCCCCTACACAAGCTGCTTTTAATTTTGTCCAGGAGTATCCTTGAGAGTCTCCATGGTAACACACCAAAAGCAAGCTCCCCAGTCTCATCTTTCATGGTACGTGCTCAGGGGACTAAAATTTCCTGTCCAGAATTGTGAATATTCCAAACTAAGATCGATTTGGCTACTTTGTGGATGCTAACATTTTTTACAAAATATAAGCAATTCTTTAAACTGAAATCGCCATTGATATAGGGTGTATTAGAAGTAGAAGTGTCCTAGCATTTCTCCAAGATATATTTTAGAACAAAATCACTCCTAAGACTCAATTCTTCCCGTCTAAACTACAATTCTTCCTGTCTAAAGAGAGGCATCTATAACTCCAAAATTCTCAGATAGTATGTATATATATATCACTGCTTTTATTGCTATAATAAATATGGTTAATAAAATATGCAGATTGGCAGATCATTGATCAGTTAAAATTTTGAAGTAGCAATAGTTAAAAATCTACTTCTGGAACATAAAATAGTAAGAAAATCTATATTTATCATTGCTATTATTGGGCGTTGCCAAGTCGATTCCAACTCAAAACAAGCCCAGGTGCCAGAGCAGAGCTGAGCCAAGGGGTTTTCTGGAGCAGAGTGCCAGGCCTTTCTGCTGCGGAGCAGCAAAGTACATTGGAGCCACCAGCCTTTCGGTTAGCAGCCAAGGACTGAACCATTGTACTCCCAGAGCAATGGCTCTACATGAATCATAAATATATATATTTGAGTTATAGAAAGTATATTTCATTTACATATGTATATATACTCTAAAAACAGAAAGGTAAGAAATTGGTAGATCGATTTCATCCATGAGGACTTACCTTGAGGTCCAGGGTCTCCCGGTGGTCCAGGGAGCCCATCCTTCCCTGGCGGACCAGGCCGTCCATGACCTTGAGCAGCCAACATTGCCGCTGGAAGCTGGAGCTGGGACAGGAACCCAGCCATCCTCTCTTCATTTAGGGGAGAAAAAAAGAATGCATTGCAAATTTATTTTGTGTTAACCCATTTCGGAATCTTCTCTTTCAACATGAAAGTTAGTAGTGAAAAAAGCCGTACACATTTCATTTTAAACATGTCTAATTTACCCATTCGTCTGACTGTTGGGAAGGTTTTCTGATGGGTAAATAAGAGTGCAGGTGTTGATCCCATGGTCCAACAATTTCAGTGCTTCAGGGATGTGGCCCACTTTGGAAGACAGACCATTAGCTTGGAATCTACATTAGACTTTGGGAAGAAGTTGCAGAGAGAGATTTACCTGTGCTATTATTTTGAGTTTACATTAAAAGTGCCTTGAATAATAAGGCCACTGTCCAACAGGGTTGTAAACGCATCCATAATGATTTAAGCCATGTTCACATATTCTTTGACACCCCATTCTAGAGGTGGAGCCTAATTGCCCTCTTGCTGAAAGTGGGCTGGTCTTGTTTTTCCTTCCAATGATGAGAAAATAAAAGCAAGCATGGAGAGCAGCGTGCAAGTTGAGGGGCTCGGTTACAACAGACACTGTGGCTTTTGTTCTCTCTTTTGGTTGCTCACTAGCCTGGGGGTGGTGCGTGAAGAAATTCTCAAGAAATTCTGCGGAGAGTCTGACATGAACTGAGACCACTTGCAACAGCCATGTGAATGAATGTAGACGTGGGCTATGGCAGCTACATAATCTCCTGTCAACTTGTGAAGGGGTGGAGTCTAGCCTGTCAATCAGGCCGTAGCTTGATGACCTCATGTGGAGGCGCAATGGAGATAAATAGCTCACTGGAGGTCAGATACACTCTCTCCCTGGGAGACATTCCTGCTGACAAGACACATGGAGTTACACTAGAGCCCTGGAGCTGGAGGTTCCATGTAGAACCCCTGCCAGTGTTGAGATGCTTCCACTACCACTGGATCCACAAGACTTTCCACACACTGGCCTGTGATCTTCCTGTATTCGGTGTCATTACATATGTTGCGTGAGTCTGAAGAGGAATTTATAGGTTTGTATTGGACTTACGGGCTAATATCAGATTTATGGACTTGATCTTGACCTGCCTGGGATGTTTTCTCAATATTCAATTGCTCTTATATATAAACCTCTTTGTTATATACATGAGTCTCCCTGGATTTGTTTCTCTAGTCTACCCAGACTAACACGTGGGCCTTCCAGGCCCACGCAAGCAACAAGAGGAGTGCAGTCCTAAATGCTTGTGTTAAACTGCTATGTTTTAATCTAATTTCTTTTCTTCTTTTTCTTTTTTTTAATTAAAAGATCATTTTATTGGGGGCTCTTACGACTCTTATTACAACCCATACATCAATTGTATCAGGCATATCTGTATACATGTTGTCATTATTCTTTTCTAGACATTTACTTTCCATTGAGCCCTTGGTATCAGTTCCCCTTTTATTTCCCCCCTCCTTCCATTTGGCCCCTTGATAGATTATAAATTATTATTATTTGTATATCTCACACCAACCACTGTCTTCCTTCCCCCATGGTTTTTGTTGTTTATCCCCCTGGAGGGTGTGTGTGTGGTTATGTATTGATCATTGCGATCGGTTACCCCTTCCTCCCTGCCTCCCCTTCACTTCCCCCTACCCTCCTGGTATGGCTATTCCCTTCCTGGCTTCCCTGTGTCGTGAGCTTCTAGCTCTTCTCTATACCTGTGTACATGCTCTGGTCTAGTCCAGAGTGAGAAGCAGCACTGGGTCATGATAGTGGGGGGTCAGGAAGCCTCAAGGAACCAGAGGAACACTGTGTGTTCCATTGGTGCTGTACTGCATCCTAGGTGACTCATTCCTTCCGTGCAACCCCTCAGTGGGGGGAATGTTCCATTGTCTACAGATGGGCTTTGGGTCTCTGCTCTGATCCTTCTTGTTCTCAACAATATGTTTTTGATGGATCTTTGATGCTTGTTACCCGGTCCTGGTGACACTACAGGATCGCATTGGCTGGTATGCTTCTTTCATGTGGGCTTGTTGCTGGATGGCTGCTTGTTTAAATTCAAGCCTGTAAGACCCCAGACGCTGTATCTTTTAATAGTCAGGCACCATCCGCTTTTTTCACCACATTTGCTTATCCACCCATTTTTCTTCAGTGATTGTGCCGTGTGTGTGTGTGTGTGTGTGTGTGTGTGTGTATGTGTGAATATCAGAAATGCCGGTTTGTTAAAACACAGTGTTCTTGTATTGAGGGAGGGTAGGAGCTGAGGCCCAGGGTCTGTCCACAACCTCAGTGTATTGCCTTATAAATATATGTACATAGGCAAATACCTCAATTTTAAGGATTAATATATTTACATATGTACATACCTATGCTTATACCTCTATTCATGGCTTTGCTTCCTAGAACCTTCCTCTGTTTCCTTTTGCCTCCTCCTGACCCATCATCACATTCCCCCTACTTCCAATGAGGTAATTTCTTATGTAACAATTTCTGTGACTCAGAGTATGTGACGCTTGCATTATTAGTAGAGGAATTCTATACTAGGCAAGCATTGTACTTAATCAGCAGCTTTTTTTTTTTTTTACTTTTTAAAGAAAATTAATTACACACCCTCAATATTAATTGATTCTGCTTGGATTCAGAAATGGAGGGTCCCATCATTAAGTCAAGGCTTTTTGTAGGAAAGATAAATTTGGCCAAAGGAAAAAAATGCATTGGTGCAGATAAGCGTGCTATAAGCAGTAGATTCTGATTACAGGTAGTTTAAAAACAGTGGGAAACACATACTTCTCTGTGAACCAGAAGAAAATGCTGCAATAAGAACATACACAGTAAGGAGAACTGGCAAATTACTCAGGCCACTTAAAATGCCAATAAAACTAACAAAGTCTTCCCCAAGATGGAGAAAACAATCAAAGGAGGCTGGCTGGGTATTCGATTGGGAGTTTGATTAGTTGTTTAAAGCGTTGATTACAAAACTGAAATGTAAACTCCCCACCCAATTTACAATAAAACGTTGCTTATAAAGAAGAAAACAAAAAGGAAGAAGAAAAAAAAACCCAAAGTTTTTTGCAAGTAAACTCTTCTGAGTGGTATGATCTTTATAAATGCTTCCTAAGCACGCAATAATTATTTCATAGTCCCATGCCCTGCCACTTATTCACCAGCTGCCAGGGCCTTGACACTGTTCCCTGGGACCCTAAAGACATTCAGGGAGGGAAGAAAGGATTGCTGAAAGGTGCTTCATCAAGCTCGGCTCAGTCGGGGGGCCACCAAAGCATCTCTGTCCCTGGCATGCAACTCTGAACTTTACTCACAGACTTATGTGAACATTTTGACTTAGCAATAAGTCAACAATGCTCTTAGAAGGAAGTGAACACACTGAGGTTGAAGTTGGTGTATTAAAAACTGAAAAAAATGTAAAGAACCTGGGAAATGAGACATTTCAAAGAAAAACATAAATGTAGAAATATAAATCGTGACTTCACCTAACATAAATTCCTGAACAAGACATTTTTTCAGTGGCCAACAAAAATAAGTAGCTATTCTCTGTCAGCAGGGCATATGGAACATTCTGTACTTCCTGCATTAAGTCTCTTGTTCGGGAATTATTGCAAAAGCCCAAAATTATCATCTTGATAAGAATGATTATCCATTTTCTTCTGTTTTTTAATGTTTTTATAACTCCCAAATAACAGAAACATTATCTACTCTATTTTCTGATAAGAATCTGTTACAGAACATAATTATAAGATATTTCTTTTCAGAAATGCTTGAAAAAAATCACTTCAGGATTACACTAGTCATTATAGAATTCTGGGTTATTAATCCCACGTAGGCTATTCCTCACTAATTTTTTCAGTTACGTTTTACCTTAAAAACATATTAAATATTTTACTACTTCATGGAAATCATTTTGCTAAAATAATTCATTCAAATATATTCAAGGTCTATGATAGAGACTACCTACCATTAAATTCTTTATTTAAATTTTCTTGGCTTGTTTATATTTTACATCTTATATTTAATTTATGAGTAGTTAGGTTTCAAGTAGGAAAACAGAGGAAGAAATATCACAGCAGAAAAAAAATTACTTGCAAAGTTTCTTTTCATTTGTGCTTTGCATATAACTCCTTCAAAAGGCAAATTAGCAAATTAAGTGCGTCAAACTAACTTATGCATTGTTTTCAAGGATCTATCTGGTGTCTAATGGAAAAGAAACCTTCACTGTAAAAAATTCAATCTGGGTTTGGTGAAGACAAATCTAGGATATATGTCATATATATAAATGTATGCATATATATTTGTCCATTTTACAGGTATAGAGAAAATGGCACCAACAAACTCAGAACTATGGCTCTCAGGTAAAAAGACCAAACAAAAACAAAGGGTCAATTCATATATTAGCCACCACCACGACAACAAAACTCCGTGCCATCAAGTCTATCTGTATCTGCAGTGACCCTACAGGACAGAGTAGAACTGGCCCTGTGAGGTTTCTGTAACTCCTCATGGGAGTACAGCTGGCTGGTGTTTTCAAACTATTGACCTGGTGTTTAGCAGCCCAACATATAACCATTCTGCCACCAGGGCTCCTGGTCAAATCATATATAGTATGTTAACTGTAGTAGTAGTTTTACTTACTATATTGCAATTGTGGTAGTTACACCATCTGGTGTCAATTTGGGACTCAAGAAGATTAAGAGTGAAGGGGTGGAGTATACTCTGTCAATTTGGTCATAGCCAATGAGGCTTCCGTGTGGGCATGGCCTTCCCCTAAGGATTCTGGGAATTCCCGTGTTTTCCTCCAGGAGACACTTTTCTCACTCTGTTCAATCCCTTGGAGACACTCTCCTGACAAGACACCTGGAGGTCACTCTCCTGACAAGACACATGGAGGTCACTCTCCTGACAAGACACATGGCACTATACTGATAGACCCCGTGCCCTGGGAACTGGAGAAGCCATGTCAAGACCCCTGCCAGCCCTGAGATGTTAGAACGCCATTGAATCCAAAGACTTTCTACC